CCCAAAGCCCCAGTAGATAGTTGTATGTCGTAGTTGCACATCCTTCTAGTTGCTGTATGTGGGACGCGGCCTCAGCATGGCTGGAGAAGCGGTGCGTCGGTGTGTGCCCAGGATCCGAACCCGGGCCGCTAGTAGCGGAGCGTGCACACTTAACCACTAAGCCACCGGGCCGGCCCTTAACATTCATTTTATTTTAATAAATAATTCACACAATGTTCTCACAGCTGTCTTACCCAGTGTCCTCCATTAACGCCAGAGTGATTCGAGACAGGACTCGGTTCTGAGTGTGAGAACCAGTCATTGCTTCATTCTGAAAATCACCAACAGAGTTTAATTAGAAGACTGGACTCCTCGCAACTCCCAATAATTTCTGTGATTACTTTAGTGTATATTTAAATGTCTCAAGTGTGAGACATTTAACTTAAAATAGTGACAAAATATTCACTTAAAATAGTGAAATACAGAAGCCTTCTCTAAATGACAAGATTGAAGCTTAAAATGAAATCTACTTTCTGCCTCAAATGTCTATAACGTGTATAATTTCCCTGCAGTGGTAGACAACCAGCATTTAGAACTCTGATGAAAATGAAGATAAATATATGGAAATAAAAATACTGTAAAACTATTACACTATCTAGGCAAAGTAAAGGGAGTGGTTGAGACAGTTACCCACAAAATATTGGGAGGGGAATACTTGCCTGAATTACAAGAAAATGCATTTATAACCTTCAACTTCGTGATCACAGAAATATACATTAATATTCAAAACAAGTGTCATAGAATCAATAGGATCAAAGGAGGTTGCATGAAGGACCTAAATATCATCAAGGTCTACTATCTACCCAGTGTTTTAATTCATATCATTAAATTCCTACCAGGAGGTCACCTAATGGTAGGGACTTCATTGTCTTTTAGGAAGCATATTCCAAATTTGGGCAACTCTGATCATTCTTCGAATCCTTATGTTGAACACTCGATGGTTATCTCAAGTACTTTAATGTCATCTTTTAAAAAAAATAGTTCAAGGACACAAAGTTGATTTCAGAGAAAGATGGCAGTTAATGAAATTACTACTCCCAAATCTTCTACTGAACGTAAATAAATATTCCTTTCTGGCCAATCTACCACTTTCTAAAGGGAATCACTTGAGAAAATTGCTTAAGGAAAATAAAGAAGCTGAAATTTCCATGGGAGAAATAAGTGTATATGTCTTCCATAAGTTTCCATCACTGTTACTTTGTGGTCATCTAGATAAGAACAGTTAGCACAAGCATTAATTCCACTCTTTTCATAATTTTGCTAATTTGGGTCATGATGTATGTAAGCTGCAACTATCTAAATGTTCTAAACAGACCTCTAAAAATAAAAATATATGTATATACCCTTTGACCCAAAATTCCACTTCCAGGGTTTTATCCTTTCTCTTTCTGTGAAACAAATCTGACCTTGAGTTAACTTTCTGGTTCTGTTCCCTTGGAAACCTAATAAAGGGGGAATGCACTTAAGGAAAAAAGACCTCCTGATATTCTTCTGGACTTGGGATTACAATAAATGAACATGAATACCTGTTGGTACGCCACAGTTTGGGACTTCTCTGTGTGCAGTGACTCTTATGGGTATTTCCCTTACAGGGATCTGGAAGTTATATCAATGGAACTGTTCAAAAAGATATTGGTTCTTATTGGGGACATGATACTTCTAAGCCAGGCTGGTTCTTTCACCCCTCTGTTATGGTCTTGTGCTCCTGTATTTGAGTTGGAGCGGGAGGGAGACAGGCACGGGTGATAGCCCCTAGACTGCCGTGTAGAGCACAAAAGAAACGCCTGACTGCCATGCTGGCATGCTGTGCTGTCTTTCTTGTATCGTTCTAAGTGAATTTTTTGTCAGTGTGGCCTGTTTAGGTCTTGTGAGTTTGACTGATTCTTTAGTTGAAACTCAGAACACCCACTGGAGCATCACTCCTGGAAGGCATTGCAGATATAAATAGATTGCTTATTATATTTTTTAAATAAAAAATGTAAAACATAGTTGTTCATTAACTCAGGACTGTTTTATATTCATATAACACTATGTAGCTGTTAAAAAATGACTAGATGTGGGGCTGGCCTGGTGGCACAGTGGTTAAGTGTGCGCACTCCACTTTGGCGGCTCGGGGTTCGCAGGTTTCGATCCTGGGAGACAACGACGCACCGCTTGACAAGCCATGCTGTGGCAGCGTCCCATATAAAGTGGAGGAAGATGGGCACAAATGTTAGCCCAGGGCCAATCTGCCTCAGCAAAAAGAGGAGGATTGGCATCAGATGTTAGCTCAGGGCTAATCTTACTCACAAAAGAAAAAGAAAAGAAAATGAGTAGATTCAAGTAGTCTATTCTACTAAAGTATATGTTTCTGTAATGTGAATGAGCATATGTGAGACTGGTAAATAAGGGAATGACATCAGTATAACATGGAATTGCGTTAGTTCATAATGATTTTTCTCTGGATTTTAATGTGTGGGTTTTTTGTTTTTTGTTTTGTTTTGTGAGGAAGATTAGCCCTGAGCTGACATCCCATGCCAAGACTACTCTTTTTGCTAAGGAAGATTGGCCCTGGGTTAACATTCGTGCCCATCTTCCTCTACTTTATATGGGACGCCGCCACAGCATGGCTTGACAAGTGGTGTGTAGGTGGGCGCCTGGCATCCGAAACTGCGAACCCCAGGCCGCCGAAGCAGAGCGCATAAACTTAACCACTATGCCGCCAGACTGGTCCCTGGATTTTAATGTTTTGTGCAATGGAGCAATAGCAGCTAAATACACTAAGACAGCTGAACACAGCAACAGAGGAATGCTGTACTGTTGCCTACTCACTCCATGCTCTTCCACTTAGCTTAGCATGGCCACAGGCTCTGTCTTAGAAGTGCTAATTGCCTGGTTCTCTCTAATCTCTGTACATTTTACTCTTGTCCCCATTACTCACATTTATAGTCTCCCATCCAGCTACCATTGCTTTTTGTTGTTGTTGCTGTTTAAGGTAAAGAAATACTACAGTAAATATAAGAGTTAATTTATTGGAAATATGATGTCTTTTTAAACTGAACCAGTACTTCTTCTTTTTCTTTTTTTTTTTGGTGAGGAAGATTAGCCCTGAGCTAACATCTGTTGCCCTTCCTCCTCTTTTTGCTGAGGAAGATTGGCCCTGGGCTAACATCTGTGCCCATCAGGGCCTGCCTGGTGGCATAGTGGTTAAGTTGGCACGCTCTGCTTTGGTGGCCTGGGGCTTGCAGGTTTGAATCCTGGGCGTGGACCTACACACCACTTATCAAGTCATGCTGTGGTTGTGTCCCACATATAAAATAGAGGAAGACTGGCACAGATGTTAGCTCAGAGCCAATCTTCCTCACCAAAAAAAACCAACCAAACAAACAAACAAAACAAAAAAAGACATCTGTGCCCATCTTCCTCTACTTTATACGTAGGACGCCTGCCACAGCACAGCTTGATAAGTGGTGCATAGGTCCACACCCGGGATCCGAACCTGTGAACCCCGGGCCACTGAAGCAGAGCACGTGAACTTAACTGCTATGCCACCAGGTCAGCTCCTTGAGCTAGTACTTTTATTATGACTTATTGCTTCTCTCAGTGCTCTAGTATTTGTTTTTCCCATAAACCTTGTTATTTTTAGTGTTTGATTTTGAAGAAAGAGGTATTTTTGGAAAGCATACATTGCATTACAGGAGAAGCACCTGTACTACTGCCGTGAAAAGATGTCTAATATATATCAGTAAGTGAAAAAAGTTGCATAAATGTATGAACCTATTTAAAAAAAAACAAACAACTGTGTGTGTCAGTATGTGTACCTATCTCTACCTAACTCTATCTACTTACCTATCTATCTATCTATCTATAAAACATTTCTGGGAGGATATATCAAAAACTTAAATAGTGATTACATCTGGAAAGTAGATCTGAAGAGGTGAAGGGGAAAAGGGATTTTTAAATTTTTTACTTTATTACCTATTATACTGTTTAAATAACTTGAGTAAGAATTACTTTTATTAAAGAATAAATATGTCTAGTAAAATTTTAAAATAAACTAACCTCTAATAACCGCTTTTCCCAATGGTTGAGCTCAGTGCCCATACCACCTTGATTTTCCAGTTCCATTCCCTCCAGAATTGGACAGTTAAAATGTTTTCGTGCTTCATCCTAAGAATCATAAAAAAAAAAAACTCTACAAAAGTACAATAAGATAATGGCAAACTCTTTATCACATTGGAAATAATAAAGTAGCCACTGAATAATTACTTTGAGAAGACAGAACGTCTTTAAGAAATATGGGTTTTAATATAATTAAATATTTTGATACTGTCACATTCTTTTTTGCTAGTAAATTACAATTTGTGTTAATCTTTTCCCTCTATTTGAAGATTTTGACTTGAAGTCACATATATTTCAAAAAAGTTATAGATTAACATGATTGACACTTGTAACTTTGGTGTCAAAAACAATTTTAATGCAGGTACAAACTGTTCTTATTATGGATCTAGTCTTCATAGGAAAAATAAGTTGTTCATCAGAATACAGTTTTACTCATTCAGTTTGTCTGTCCTTCAGTTAGAGATCTCCAGGGATGGGAAATATCCCAAGAGCAGTACAAAAGTTCAGAAGGCAGAAAGTGCTATGTGTTGTCAAGGAAGGAGGAAGGGAGAATACGTTTCTGTCATTAAATAAGAAGTTGTTATGGTTAATTTTACGTATCAACTTGGTACTGTGGCCCAGATATTTAGTCAAACATTCTGTATGTTTCTGTGAGGGTGTTTTCAGATGAGATCAACATTTAAATTAGTGGACTTTGAGTAAAGCAGATTACCTTCCATAATATAGAAGGACCTCATCCAGTCAGTTGAAGGCCTTAATAGAACCAAGACTGACTTCGCTTGAGCAAGAAGGAATTCCACCAGTGGATAGCCTTTGGACTCAAACTGCAACTCTTCCCTGAGTCTCCAGCTTGCCAGCCTATCCCATCAGATTTTGGACTCTCCAAACCTCCACAACTGCATGAGCCAATTCCTTAAAATAAATCTCTCTCTCTCTCTGTCCCCACATCCTATTGGTTCTGTTTCTCTGGAGAACCCTGACTAATACAGACTCCAAATGAAATGACCAGCAATTATGCAAGTAGTACCGGTGATCCTAAGAGGTATCAATCACAACAGAGGAGACTGGCTTTAAGCAATGGGTAGAATGGAGCCCTGAGAGCCACTGCCAAATTTCCATTTCCTCAGATTTCTCTTGGCCTGTAGCTTTACTGTACTGCCTTCATATTATTTCTCCTACTATAAGCTCTGAAATTTAATCATAAGTTCTTAAACAATAATGATAAGTAAAGAAAGGAACATAATGAAAGAAAAGGGCAGATGGCTCATGAGACATGAAGAAGTTCAGTAATACTTACGACAACACGAGGTGTTACTAGAAGATACACAGTGTGAGGAACTATCTTATTATCTCGAACATCCCATAATCTCTCCACTTTTCGAACTACTTTATCACTCCATTGATACAATCCAAGACTGCAATTAAAGAATAAAAAGATAGTCATTTTTGTAAATTCATCACCACTTTAAATGTGTTTATGAATATCAATATGAAATTAAAATACGTGAGCTTACTATGTACCAAGTCCATGCAAAGTACTTGATAACATTTTCTAATTTAATCTCTTCAACAACCTTAATGAGATTATCATCACTATTTTACAGGTAGAGACAGAAGCTTAGAGAGATGTAGTAACTTGCTCATGTTCACATAGCTAATACTTGGCTAAGATGACAATGAATTACTTCCTTTTAACAATTTATTGGATAAAACAAAAGCAAGTCCAGAGACATAGCCAAGTATATAAGGAAACTTAATAAACAAAAAAGATGGCATTTTAATTTAGTGGGAAAGTATAATTTACCTAATAACTGCTATAAAACTGGTTATCCATCGAAGCAAAAAACAAAAGTTAAATCTCTATTTCATCCCATATACAGAAATAAATTCCAGACAAGTGTCAGCAAAAATGGCAGAGTAAGGACCTCTGAAAATTCCGTTTCATGAAAGCTATGAGAAAAGCAGCAAAATTGGCCAAATCAACATTTCAGAACTCCGGAAATTAACCAAAGGCTTGCAGCAATTCAGGAAGCACTATTTAAGAAAAATGGATGACTCTCAGTAAGAACAAGATGCGTGGTGGTTTCCCATGCCTTCTCTCCAGCTCTGTGGCAGCCTTGAAAACCAACAGCCCACAATCACGGTGAAAACCAGCAACCGCAGCTACCACAGGAGGCATGGGGCATGTATTAAAGAATGGAGAATAGAGAATGTATTAAAAAAACCATGATCCGACTATACATTTACAGGAGATACAGTTCAGACTCATGGACAAAAAATAGGTTGAATGTAAAAGGATGAAAATGATATACCACGCAAACAGTACTAAAAAAGAGAGCTGGAATGGCTATACTAATATCAGACAAAATAAACTTGAAGACAAAAATTGTTACTAGAGACAAAGAGAGACATTTCATAATCATGAAAAGGTCAGCCTACCAAGAAGATATAACAATTATAAACATATATATACCTTACAAAAAGTTCCCAAAATACATGAAGCAAAAATAAATTCCAAATGGATTAAAGCTATGAATGTAAAAAATTCAAATAATAATTTACCAGAAGAAATTTAGGGGAATATTTTTATAATCTTTGGAGGGCAGAAACTTTCTTAAGCAATAAAGGAAAAAAAGATGAATTTAATGATATAAAATTTAAAAATTTTTCTGTATGGCAAAAATATGATAAATGAAATAAAAAGATAACTAAATGGGAGAATATTTGCAACAAATATGAAAAAGGATTAATATCTCTAACTTATAAAAAACTCTTACAAAGTCATTAGAAAAGGAAAAATAACCTAAGACTAGACAAAGAAAATAAATAGGCAGCGTACAAAGAGAAAATGCAAATGGCTAAAACCTCACTAGTAGTTCTGGAAATAACAAGATACCATCTTTTTTACCCATCAGATTGGCCTAAAAAAAAAAAAAATCTATAATATCCAGTACTGGGAAGATGTTACAAAAGCACGCGTATATCCCTGGTGGGAGTGTGCCCTGCCACAACCTTTAAAATAAAAGTAACGACAGCTTTTATTAAACTTTACAGTGGACATAGATTTTAAACCAACGATCCCACTTTGGGGACTCTATCTTATATAAATAAAAGCACTACAAAAGTGACATATTTATTTATTATAGAAAATTATGATGGATATCAATTTTGATTTTTCCCTATAACCCAAATCATTTTTTTCTGGCTTTTTCCCTAGATTATTTCTACCATTGACCTTAAGAAGCTCTCATTCTCATCAATAAAACAAAATATACAGAGGATCTTTTTTCCTACTATTATTTTACAAAAATTTTAAACATATAAAATGTTGAAAGAATTGTATGGTGATCATCTATATACCCAATAACTATCACTTAGATTCTGCAATTAACATTTTGTTATGTTTTTTGAGTCGTATATCTGTTCATTTACCCATGTCTTAGAGAGGTTATTCTTAATTCCTTTTATCTTTTTCCATGGCAAGGCAATGTTTAAACATAAATAGTGAACAAAGCCAGCAAGAAAATAAACAGCTTTTACCCTATTAATAACTCTAAGATCCTCTTCACCATCCACACTTCAATTAACAGTTTCTCCAAATAGATTGGTCCAAATCCGACTCTATATATCGAACAACTGAATTTCTTATTATTCTATTATCCCCATTTATACTGTAAGATTTCCTGCTTTTGAGCATCCTGAATGTAAGAAAGCACTGCAAATTATCAGCTTAACAATAGTTCTTGCGTATGGGTATCTCTCTCCTCCGTACCTACATCACTATGTAGCTGATGCCTATCTCACCATTTGTATGTTTCCCATAAAGACCACAATTCTTAGGAAAGACTAGACTTCTTCCACCCCACCAAATGAACACAAACAGTCTGGGAAGTAAAATATCTATTTCTACATTAGAATTTCGTTTCTTCATATGTACTCTAAAAAATATTATGGAATAAGGTATTATTTGTTTCAATATTTATTTAATTCTAGTTATTTTAATAGAGATCTTTGTAATCGAAGTAAAATACACATAAAGTGACCAAATTTTAAGTATAAAGACTAATTAATTTTTATTCTATATCCATATACCACTGCTCTAAAATATGGAACGGTGTTGGCACCCCTAGAAGGTTTCCTTGTGCCCCTTCCCAATCTATACTCAACTTTTATGTCATTTAACAGCCTCCTCCCTCAAGAAAAACCACTAATTTGTCTTTTATCATTGCCTGTTTTTAAATTCCATACAAATGGACTATCTGACTTCTTTTGCTCAATATTATCTCTGTGATATGAATATATGTTATTGTGTGTAGCAATAGTGTATTCTCTTTTAGTGCCTTGTAGTTTTCAATTATAGGAATATATCACAATTTATTTATCCATTCTACTATCGATGGACCTTTGGGTGGTTTTCATTTTTTGGCTATTAATAACAAAACTGCCATGAACATCCTTGTACACGTCTTTTTTGGACATGTGCTCTTAATTTAGAGATTTATTTTTTATATAAATGCATGTAAATGGTTATAGTTCTGTGACTGACAGTCTATATGAAATTCTTGATAAACTTTTTTAGTGTTTCTTAATATTGTTTATTTTAGCCCCTGTCCCTCTAGATCACTGCTAATACGCTGTGCTAAATAAAACATTTAACACGTACATATTGCCACGTATAGGCAACGATTATTAATAAACCAAAATATAACCAACCAACCCACATTTTCCCATGGCTGACTATACCGTAAAGTAATACAAGTCACAATGTGGTGGAAAAGAGCTCTGCCTGGCAAGAAGAGTCCTGGCTCTTTGGATAAGTCTCCTAAGCATTTTGTATCTAAACTGCTTCATCTGTAAAATGAAAAGGGTGAAGCTAAATGACCTCTTCTATCCTATCATGTTTTAATAGCTACAATTTTCTTAGGCTAGTCATGAAACCACTATTATTTATGGCACCTAATATGCTATGATTCTCGGATTCTAGTCTTAGCACCCTTCTAAAAGAGAATAAGAACAAAAATAACAAATACCTGTTATTAAAAGGTGGGAGACCATCTGCAAATCTTGACGTTAGAGGATTTCCATCTTTATCATGGTAGAATGCAAACAGGCCAGCAGAGAAACCCTATAAGAAAAAGTTCAAAATGTCTTAAAATGAAAAATATCAAGTCTGATTATAGACATCATAACATGCCCCTATCAGAACAGAACACTGACATAACCACATAAAACACCATGCCAATTCTTCCACGAGAACTTCTCATATATTAGAACTGGACAACAGTTAAGTGGTTCATATATATGAGTTTTAAATTCCAATTACCAGAGGTAATTATAAGTGAGGAAATCAAAAGTAATAGTAACAAAGATTCTTTGGTAGTAGAATAAACAATACATTAATTGTTTAAGAATGCTTTTATCACAGTTGATCTCCTCACATGAACTTACTAAACTCTACAATTGCATCCAGGGACTGCTACTATTGAGAACAATTAACACAGTTTAGAGTAGGGGAGTGGGTGATCAAATGTGCTCCTAAGAGCCCTCATAAAAATTCAAAGTCTTTGATCTCAAAGTCCACATTTAGTATACCTCTATACTTAAAAAAAAAAAAGACTGGAAATATGTGTGTGTATGTGTGTGTACACTTAGGAAAAAAGACTGGAAACACATACATCAAAGTGTTAGCTGTGGTTCCTTTGGTGGTAGGGTAATGTGTAAAATCATCCATTCCCCAATTTTTTACAATGTAAATATGTATGTTTACAACCATATTTTTAAATAGTATTTTTAAGAAGTCTTCAATTTTAATGAGATAATGGATACTTTGCATAAAGTTATTCAAATTCCCGTTCTCTATCCCTTCCCTCCCAAATAAGATGAGAAAATAGGCAAAAAAAAATTACTGACATTTGATATCTCCTATTTCATTAGTGAGATTTCTTTTCTTGCTTTCTTTCCTAATCCAATAACTAAAACAAAGCACTTCTGTAACTACTTCTTTACGTATGTTCTACATATTAAGAATATGCTATAGCTTATATCCAAATAACTAACAATCATAAGTGATCACTTAATCAATTTCTTTGGCAAATTTCTTTGCTTACATAACTGTGGCCTCTGTGTCATTCGAAGCTTGCCAAAATGATTAATGGAATCCAGGTTATTCTTTTATTCCTACATTTCTTCTTTTTTAATCTCTGAAGATGCAAAGGACACTTAATGGAGTCAACCAGGAAACCTATATAGTTTCTGATATACAATTCACTAAAGTTATATAAAGCTTAAAATAGTAGGATTTGCCTCATCCTTTATAGTATTCTAAATACACATTTTTTCTACTCTATCAACTTGAAATTTTTTCTAAGCACTCACATTGCAGAAGGTTTATCTAATATTCAAAGTACCCTGGATGACTGTAGTTGATAGCTATGAGCATATATAACTTTATAGGGAATATTTGTATTTGTTAAAATTTAATTCTTACTACCCTTCAGGATGGGTTTTGAGACTTAAACTAGGATTTAAAATTTCTTAGGTTTTTACATTTTTTTAAATAATTCAAATATACAAAAAAGTAAAAAACACGTAATAGACATTTATGTATCCTCTTTAAGAGGATTTAAGATGTTAATTTTGCCATATTTTCTTCAGACTTTTATTTTTTTTAAGAAATAAAACACTGCAGAATAAATACTGCTGAAGCCCCATTACCTACCCTCTCTCCTCCCTCTCTTCCCAGAAGTACCCACTACTTTGAAGTCAATGTGCATAATTCTCATACATGTTTTTATATTCAATGGCGTCTTGCTTTAATTTCAGATTCCCTGACTGCTAAAGTAAGTCTGAATATGTTCTCATACATTTCTCGGCCAGTTGGATGTTTCTTTTGTGAACTGCCTGTTCATAACCTAATTTACTCATAATCTCTGCATTAATGTTGACTTATGTACTAGACTTAAAACCTGCTATATTTCTCTGGTTGTCTCAACATCAAGTATCTCAAGTTTTTAGAGGTTAAAGCTTAAGATGTTACTTAGAACTTAGAATGATCTTGTCTTTCACCACAATTAGCAAGTTCGACTCACTTTTTTTAATAAAAGGAAAACAGACAACTCATTTTAGAATCTCTTTACCTAAAGGACATAAGTGCTACCTGGTTACACTACAGTTTCACCAAGTTATTCAATGTATTCAGTGATTTAAAGACCTAGGCTTGCATTTCAAAGTCATACACCATAGCTCACTAAATAAGACTCATAAATAAAAACCACTAATTTAATTACACCTTGCTATGTACAGCATGGTGTTGAGCCATTTATATGTTTTGTCTTATTTAATCTTCAAGGAAAAAAAATTCATTGTGATATGTACCAATATTATCTTCAGTTTACAGACGAAACAGGCTTACAAAGGCTAAGTAATTTCACAAGATCCTAAGGACTTTTAGTGGTAGAGCTAAGATTCACACCTAGTTCTGTGTGATCCACTCTCTCTCTTAATCACTGCATTTTACTGCCATCTATTTTCTAAATACACGAATGACATCAGGAGAACATTTCCTAGAGTCTTAGGCAACTTCGTTTAATTCCCTAGATATATGGTAAAAGTCCACTATTTTGGAGAAATTGGGTAAAAGGAAGAAGTTCTGAATCAGTAGTATACATATACATTTTAGAAAGCCTAAATAGACCAAGAAGACTTTTAGAAATGAGATTTCTGTAAGAGACAAAAAAGATCTATAATCAGCATATCAGTTATTTTAGAGGAAAGTAAATTTTTCTAAATTACTACAGTTTTTTCTTAAGAAGCTTAATAATTTCCTCAAAAATCCTATTTTCCCAATGGATTTACTTGTTTAATTATTTTAGGTAATATAACTCAACCTAGCCACTATCCTAGTCAAAAAATTCTCTATTGGCAGAAGCCTAATCAACTAAGTTTTACTGAACACGAATCTAAGAACCAATATAATCTTGAAATTTAACATATACATCAAAATGAGAGCATAATAAGCAGAAAATCAAGGCATGAAGGAAAAAACAGTAGTTAACAGAAAAATTTACCAGGGCATGAATAATCTCATGTTTCACTGTGGACAGCATCCCAATAAACTCCTGAGGCTGGGTAGAGATCATATTTGGACACAGGTTAGCGTATCCTGCTATTGGCCTGTTAAAATAGACATTAAATTTTTTATTATATTCCAGAACAATATGTATTATGATATTTACTAACTTATACTTTTCTATCAAAAACTAATCAAGGTCAGAAAAATCTTTGCTAAATATCAAATGTCACTTTGTACCCGAACATCTAACTTTTACTATCTTTTATTTTTAAGACATATACCTCTGTTTTCCTATGGCATGGCTAGCCAACACCTGTTCCCACAAAAGGATATAGTCAGTTAATTATACTTTGTGTGAATTTGTAAAATATGTCAATATATACCAAAAAAAAAAAAAGGAACAAAGTGAAAAACTTAAATTTTAACACTATCTTACTTGCAAAATCCATATTTGACTTCGGCATTTCACTATATTTACAGGCATAGGGACAGACAAGTAGGTAGAGAGGGAAAATAGATACACAATAGGACAATAAGCAGATCATTCAGGTTGCTAAAGTTGCTGAACCTTCTTATCTCCATCTCGCTATTCCCTTTCTCCTGCCCTAACACTGCCTTCCTTCACATAATGAGTTTTATCTTCCCATCATCTTCTTTCATATTCTACACCTTCTAGAATCTACAGAATTCTACATCTCTTTCTAAGCCTAGAACCTGAGAGTCCAAGAGCTGACTAGGACCCAGAGTAATTCAATAAGTTCCACCATACATCTCCCTGTCTTTCAAAAGCTGTGGCAAACACACAATGGTAAGGAACCCCAAGGTCCTTTCTCCCACCACAACCTTAACATTTTAGCACAGTAATACCACAAACTTCACCAAATGGTGATCGCCTATTTACAAAGTAACATTTGTAATGCAAAGTAAATAAGATTAAGTAAAAAACAGTGCACTTTCTTCATACTTGAAAACAACAGGCTTACACTTAGAAGAAATATGAATATAATTCATTAGCAAAACATTGCCACAGTGACCTCTAAAATACAAAATGGATGTCACTGCCAGCCTTAAAACCTGTCAAGGACTTCCTACAGCATTTAGAATAAAACAGCCCTGTCTGCCTCTCCAGTGAATCTCCTGAAGCTCTCATCCTCAAACACAGTGTCCACTGAAGTGGCTTCTAACAGCAACGGTACACGTGGTTTTTTCCCTAACGTAAGCTCTTTTTCCACCTTTGTATCTGGCTGAAGCCTATCAATGTTCAGGTTACAGCTAAAATTCCACTTTTTCAAAGAAGGCTTCTTTGCCCAATTGATCTACGTCATGTTTCCCCCTTTTGTTGTCTTTTATGGTACAGCACCCTGTTTTTTCCTACAAAGTATTTATTACATTTTGAAATCACATATTTTTTCTAAGTATATTTAACTAATATCTGTCTCCTCCTGTAATTTGTAAGTTCATGTGGCAGGTAGACGTGTCTATTCTGTTCACCTAGTCTACTGACAACATATTAGGCACTCAAATATTCATGGAATGAATTAATACAATATAGCAGTTTTGAAGGATAGTTTTGCTTCCTTCAAAAAGATCAGAAGATAACTGAAGATACTGCTGCTTCTTCCAACATCAACATTCTCCTCAGAAGAAACCAAAACCTTTCCCCAGATATGAGAAGACATATATGAGTAGCTTCATATTCACTGATACAAAGAACCTTTATTTTTTTAGCTACTCATTCACATCAAATGTGAACCAAACGTTAAAGTGCTTTAAACAAACATAATAGCAGTGCAATGAAACTGAAACGCACCTCTGGGCTACGGGATTCTCATCTGTGTGACGACTCCTATCTGGATGCTCTTACCAAAAGACAATTAGATACTTGAGGTACTTTCAGCATTATCAGATGCTGAAAGGAGATGAACTAACCTAGACCCATCTCAACATAGGATTTTACATCCCTCCCCCCACTTCCCAAGGAAGCCATTCTGTTCCTAATATATAAGGTTCACTTTAACATGTCTTTTATTTAAAAAAAGTAAAAGCTCATTGTAAAAAGGGATATATCCAATAATATGGAAATGTATAAAGAAAAAAGTGAAAATCCCCTGTTTTATAACCTACCCCCACTAGATTCCATTATCAGAGGTAACTACTATCAAGAATTTGGGGTGCTTTATTCTTAGGGTGACCAGCTATCCTGGTTTGCGCAGCACTGAGGGGTTTCCTAGGATATGGGACTTTCAGTGCTAAAACAAGGGGAGTCCTGGGCAAATTGGGATGGTTGGTAATCCTAACTACTTCTGACTTTTTCCTTTCAAGTACATACAGGGGTTTTTTAGACAAATATGGAATCATATTATGTATGCTTTTACAATGTGCTTTTGACATTCAACAGTATATTCAAAACGAGATTGCAAATGCATGTGTGCATGCGATCCATATGGTTTGGTTCAAATTAAGATAAAGGACCATGATTTTGTAGCACTACTATTATGAAGGTATATTTCTCAAAGACATCTACTTGAAGAAAGTATCTCATTTTATCAAGTAAGAATCATTCAGCACTTCAAATACTATATTTCCTTATAATTCCATTAATTATAAAATATCATAAATTTAATAACAGCTTCCCAGGGAAAAAGAAATACTCCATTAAATATATATATTCTATTTACTAAACCATATAAACAAGAAAATATATATTCTTTTTACTAAACAATAGTACATATATACCCACAAAAAGACATAGCACTTTCTTCTTCAGTAATATACTCAATATTTGACTCTAAGCTTTTTCAACATTCAAAAGCTAGATTTTTGAGTAGATTCTATGGATCAACAATTACATAACTGTTACATAACAGGTTACAGACTGCTTTTCATAATCCATGATGCTGATTTTGACCTTACCACTTTCTGGATTGACAGTAAATTCTAAAGTATATACCAGTGTTTTCTCTGTATTGCCTACTTCATTCAACAAATAATTTCATTTTTTTCCTTAAATGAACTACGCAGTAATAGAAGCGAAACAGCTCTTTAGAGTCAGCTAATCTTTTGACAGATAGATGAATGTTTAGGACCTCAGCAATGATCCTTACATACACATTTAAGTGATAATTTGGCTAAGTGAAGGATATGTCAAATGATATGATGGGGGCGGGCTTGGTGGGGTAGTGGTTAAATTCACATGCTCTGCTTCGCATGTTCAGATCCCAGGCGTGGACCTATGCATTGCTTATTGAGCCATGCTGTGGCAGCATCCCATATAAAGTAGAGGAAGATGGGCACGGATGTTAGCCCAGGGAAATCTTCCTCAGCAAAAAAGAGGAGGATTGGCAACAAATGTTAGCTCAGGGCTAATTTTCCTCAAAATAAATAAATAAATAAAATTTTTTCAAAAATGATATGACAATTAGATGAACAGTTATTTTTAACATCTTACAGTTTTAGCACAGAAATGCTAAAATTAAAGTTCAAATTGTTTCTTAGAGAGATATTCACTTCCCAAGAAAATTCTCTTGATAGTAGACTTCCTCTTTGGAGTTGGTACTGACACTACCATATCAACAACAGTTCTACCACCTGACTCCTCCCACCCTCCCACCCAGTCAGGCTGTTTCTTGCTACTGGAGGCAATCTGGCAAATGCAAACTTTCTGTACATACTCTAAACACTTATAATGTGGTTTGTTTTAAGAGTCCCCATATTAGATCTTGGGAAATAAGTCTCAGGGGAAAGTTTACCTGTCCATTTTTGCTTCCTGCTGACAATAGGCTGCATAAGAGATGATGTTTTCATGGCTGCACCTGTCAGTGGCCAGAGCACCAACATAAAGAACAAAGTCTGCATCCAGGATGCCCTCTTGGTCTTGCATACCCACTGCTTCACAGGGCGACTTATCCCCACGGCACACCCTGCATTGCTGTGCCCGTGGTGGGCAACAGAAAATCAGACCAGAGACAAGGTTAGCTGTAGGAACTTTTAATTTAAGATTAAAATTAAATAAGACTCTAAATACATATGATTTAACTTTTATTATCCATTAACTTTTATCAAAATCCATACCTCCCTCTACTCAGTTCTTATTTCTAATTCTGAACTTATTTTACAAAAATTCCTACTTTATATAAAATGATCATAAATCTATAATCTTTTTTTTTTTTTAAAGATTTTTTATTTATTTATTTTTCCCCCAAAGCCCCAGCAGATAGTTGTCTGTCATAGCTGCACATCCTTCTAGTTGCCGTATGTGGGACGCGGCCCCAGCATGGCCAGAGGAGCGGTGTGTTGGTGCGCACCCGGGATCCGAACCCGGGCCGCCAGCAGCACAGTGCGCGCACTTAACCGCCAAGCCACGGGGCCGGCCCTATAATCTTAATTAAAACAAACAATTGCTATTTATAAAGGGCAATTGGATGCAACTGCAAAGGATGCTAAAAAGAAATAGAGAAGGTTTTAAACCCTTAAACTAGGTGAAAGTTAAAAGGTACCTCCTCGTATGTATTTGTTTTTGCAGCTTCCTGTGAATCCATAGTTATTTAGAAATTAATTAATAAAAAAATTTTTATCTAATGGAAATATATTTCCTATTATAAAGTAATTCATGTATCTTGTTAAAAATTCAAATAATTCAAAAGTATGTAAGGTAAAAGTTAAAGTCATCTTGTGATATTACCCTTGTTTCTAGTTCTCTAAGCAATTCTTACTTTGCCCTTGTAATGTCTGCTTTTTAGAGGACTTATTCTATCCAAGTTCCTAAACAATCATAATCTCCAATTTATAAATAGAGAAATCAGTAAATTGTGATCTTTTAGGCGTGATGCTTGTAGAGAGAGAGAAAACAGAAATCTCCGTTTCATTATATTGTTTACTTTTGCTTCTCTAACCCATGTATTTATAATTTTTAAATTCAATTACTTTAACCTATTAATAGTGTTACAAAAAGTTGTTATTTTTAAGCATTCTCTACCACAATCACTCATTTATTTAAAAAAAAAATCAGGACCCCCCCAAGAAGATAAGTAGGAAGCAGAATTTGGAAAGGCTAAGAAAATTAAAAATAAAAAATACTTTAGAAAAAAAATGTGTCTTAAAATGTCTCTAAATGTCTTGGGAAAAGAGATGGATATGTAATTGTCAACAAATAAGAGGCATAAACTCTTTGCACGAGAAGCAAAACATTTATTTGTGGTCTTAGGAATTGCAATTTGGGAGACAGATTTGAGAGGAAACTCAAATGTGCTCTGAAGAGGACAAAAGAGGCAGGGATTTATAAAGGCAAAACCCACAAACTTACATAAGTTGTTTTGAACAATTAATGATTGGTTCTGACAAGGAACGAGCTGACTTGCCAGTATGTGATTGGTCTTTGAGTTCTATCTAAGCAGACTGTCCGTTGTTGGAATAGGAAATGTTCCAGGATGTAGCTTCTGTAGTCAGGTTAAATTCAAAAGTTCATCTGGTTGTGGACACTGTATACGGTGCATAAGTCCCACTTCTTTAATGGCCTCCCAGCTCCATTTTAGAAGCCCTGACATCTGTTACTCCATTTTGTTATTGTTGTCCACATTTTCTGCTTTTGATCAAGATTTTTTTACAGAAAGCATTGTAGATCAACTGTTTGATATATCTATTGGTGTTTCCCTCGTCACCAGGAAAGCTCATTTTCAGGAATTCATGTCCCACGCATGGGGGGAAGTGAGATGCTCAATCATCAGTAGGAGTAAGGTATTCAGAGGCTTTGGCCATGTCTGAGCAATAATGACATGATCAGGAAATGAATGTTAGGCAAAGTCTCATAGTTCTAAGGCATCGATGATGGCTTTGTTCTCAATGGTCATCAATGAATAGGTTTGTTGAATAGTCTCGAGTCTTTAAGTGACCATGACCTTGACGTTTTGAGTAGCCATGTGACAGCGAGAAATGCACAGCATAAACAGTTTAAAAATGACAAAAAAGGCAGCAGATCAGAATTATCACAAGTAAAACAAGATGCAAGTAAACTGGATCTGAAGATTGCTCCTAAACTGGCAGGAAGCCAACTTGAATCTGAAAACTTGAAATTTAACCAACCTGCAGTAAAGCTAGAGTGGCCCTTAAGTGATATAGCTAGTTTGAAAAGCTTAGTGATCTCCAATTCAACTTGACTATAGAGGTGTTAATCCAAGTGCAACAGGAGGTATTGGCAATAGCGCAAACTCCTTCTTGGGCGGTCTAAGGCTGTTCTGTTCTCAAGGACCTTTGTTGTGCCCTAATAGCTCTGGCTGCAGAGCAAGTGATTCTCTTAACAGTTCTTGTGAGGTTTTGCATTATAACCTCCAAATCTGTGGTTCTAACTCCTGTCCAAGATTCCAAAATTCTCAAGAACCCGTTGAATTGGTCACCTGAATACCCAGCAGGAAAGTCACATCCCTGACTACAGCCACAACTATTATTCTCATATTCAGAGGGTTCTTCATCAGGATAATCATCTACAATAGAGAATGCCCTTTTCTTTCTGCTATTCCAGTAGACTCTAGTTGTTCAGAGATTAGCTTGAGTACGGTGAAAGGAGTGGTTAAGTGTCCCAGGAGGCAAGTTCCTCCCATTCTCCAGCTATCTAGGCATTCATATGCCCGTGGAAAATATTCTTGGTCACATATGAAACTGTAGCCCGAGGGTATACAAAGGGAGCCAGTGACATTAGAGGATTCCAAGGATGGATTGGTAGGCAGGTCTCAAGGGATGTAGATGAACCAGGGATCTGTCCTACCTAGGGAGTTCACCAATGCTCCCATTAAGCTGACAGGCCTCAAAGAGGGCGACTAGAGGAAGTGGCAATGTGAAGTATGCCCAACAAAGGGGTGTTAAATGGTTGAATTTGGACCTGGAGTTATAGAGGCCCTGGAAGTAAGAGTTAGAGGAAGGAAGTGAGAACTTGAGGAGGCGCATCGGTATTGGTGTAAAAGACAGATCTCTATCTTGATAGAAGGTGGACAGGCGGAAGGGAGACAGGGAAAAGCAAGGAGGGGGTCCCGAGACAAGGTGGACAGGTTGTATCTGGTAGGCAATAGTGGTGAGGGGCTGGTCATGGGTGACAGTATAATTGGGAAGATTAGAAAAATTGTACATAGGTATGACTATGGAATCATTATTCTTTGCAAAAAGATGCAGCAGGGGAATGGTGACATACTCAACATTCAGATAAGTTACCATAGTAGGCTAAAGACTGAGAAAATTGTATTATAGTATTGCTTTTCCAGAAATGAGGGACTGGGGAAGGGAGAGGGAGAAGGAACGTAAGGGTCAGCAGCAAAAAGGAAGTAAATTACCTTTACTTTCCTCCATATTCACCTCAGAATGTCCGGGAATCTTTATCACTGCTAAAGATCTTGGTTTCTGAATGGCATGCGAAAGATCTAACACATAGAAACTATTTTTTATTCTTTGACCTGTAGAGGTCAAGAATCCTCTTCGTTTCCAAAGCATGGCAAAATCATGAGTTACCCGCAAAGCATATCGGCTGTCTGTATAGATATTGCTGTTTTCCCTTCAGTCAGACACAGGTTTGGGTTAGGGCCACAAGTTCAGCTTGCTGTGCAGAGGTAGCCACTAGCAAAAGACCAGCCTCTATTGTTTCCATTAAAGATGCAACCACATATCTTGCCTTATATTTATCAGTTTCATCTGGATTGAGGATTGAGGGAATGGCAGTGAATAATAGTGATGTTTGGTTAGGATAGAAGAAGCAGCTCATAGGAGATCAGTCTGCTAATAGAAAGGTGTTGAGAATGATGAGAATTCAGAAGGGCTTCCACTGAGTGGGGTACATAAATGGTCAGAGGAGAGCCCATGATAGTTTCTTTGGCAGTCCTAAGAAGAATTGCAGTTGCAGCAATGGCTCTCATGCAGGGAGGTAGTCCCTTAGATACAGGATCTAATTGTTGGCTCCATTAGCCCGTTGGTCTATGTTGTCCTCCATGTTCAGGACGCCCAGTGCATTTCCTTCCTTCTCATGAACAAAAAGGAAAAAGGGCTGTTTGTAGTTAGGATGTCCTAAGTCTGGGGTGTCAAGGAGACCCTGCTTAACTGTCTCAAAGGCATTCTGATTTTCTTCACAACAGTTGACGGATTCTGGCTAGTCAACATTAAGGGGAGAGTATAAGGGTTGAGCCATCATTGAAAAGTTGGGAATCCAGTTTCTACAATAACTAGCCAATCCTAAAAATCGCCTCAATTGTCTTTTGGACGGGGGAACAGGGAAAGAAAGGATTCCTTTAATTCTATCTAGGTCAAACATTAACCCTTGGTTAGATATCAAATGTTCCAAATATTTAACTTGAGGCTGATTAAATTGCAGTTTCTCTTTAGAGACTTATATCCCTTAGAAGCAAGTTCCCTTAAGAGATGTAGTCCATCTATATCAGATGGTGAGTAAAGGAGCAGGTCATCTACATATTGTAATAAAGTGGAGTTTTCTGAAAAGGTTACCGTATCTGCCTTTAAAATTTGAGAGAAGGAGGGTAGGCTTCTAGTATAGCCTTGAGGCATGACTGTCCATGTGTATTGTTGTCCATCCTAAGCAAAGGCAAATAAAAATTGACTACCAGGATCTATGGGCATGCTGAAGAAGGCACTGCCAAGGTTTATGACCACAAAGAACTTGCTATTTGGAGGAATAGCAGACAGAAGGTAGGAGGATTAGGGACAATAGGATGCCTGGCTATTACAATGTTATTGATGGCTCTTAAGTCTTGTACAAATCTCCATCCTCTTCCATGAGGTTTACATATAGGGAGGAGGGGTATATTACAAAAACTTGTATAGGGAGTAATGAGCCCTTGTTTCAGATAGTCTTCAATTACAGGCTTAATGCCTTTAATTGCTTCAGCATGCAAATGATACTGCTTAATGTTAGGTAAGGTCTTATTTGGATCCACTTCA